TTTGGTTTGTTTCTTTAGAATTATCAAGCCAAAAGGCAAAAACAGTAAAATAAAGGTTTTAAACGGTTATGAGAAGCATGCTAGGGTAGGGTGTATGAAAAAAACCTTGTAATAACCTTAATCCTTAATTTTCAGAAATCACTGCTCAATTCAATCGTTACCGGTTTTAAAGATTAGTTGACTCTAATTCCTTAGCAGAAAACCCTTTGGTATTCTCCCTATGCCCCAATTCCTTGGCGGTATAGGAACAATACCAAGCAATATATTGCATCTAAAACATTAAGGTTACTATAGGGTATCCCCATTCCTAGGCAATATCTACTATAGTATTATCGTATACACACGTTAACACTTGTTCTTCCAAACCTAAGGTTAACCGTAAATCATATTCCCATTTGTCAAATAAGAAAAGCCATAAAACATTATACGATAACAACGATGATTAGAAAGCAGTGAAATATATAATTCAAGAAACCAAAGGTTATTACAGAGTCAACTCAGGGACACCCCCCTAGCATTGGGGGGTTTAGCTACGCATAATAATAAAAATAAACTCAACAGTAAAATTCAACATTACAAGAGAGTTGGTTGCTTTGATCTTCAATCGCTTCCGTCATGAGGATCTTCCGTTCCCAAATTCTTGATCGCTCTAATCTTTATCGTGAAATTTCTTTTTTCTGTTTAAAAGTCCCTTCTCCTTTTTCAAAACACGTATCAAATAGTCTCCATTCAAACCCAGTACCAGGGAAATGCCCAAAATACCCTCAGGGATCACAAGTGTCAAAAATACAAAAAAAATAGGTGATGAGGCGTTTCAACCAACACGGGCCGTGTCAGACAACACGGGCAGCCGTGTTGGCTTCCTGGCACATTTTTCGTGTGAAATTTCCAAGTCTCAGGTGTCCTGACACGGGCGGCCGTGTCAGGCTACTGTTTTCCACCAAAAATCACCTCTTATGAGCACATCCTGACACGGGCTGTGTCACACGATACGGGCACCCGTGTTAGGCCCCTCTTGCGAATATGACTTCAACTCCAACATGAAAGTCATAGCTTTCTCTCTTAGCTTTCCGGCGGTTTTTAGAACGCCTCAAACAGATTCCCGAAACTCCAGTTATGTTCGTTTTCGTGCAGACTACTAAAGACTTTACTTTCAGTAGCCCTGACACGGGCAGTGTCACAGGACACGGGCACCCGTGTCAGGCTGCTGGTTCACAACAAAACTCTTCCAAAATCTTGCCATTTTTCCCTGATTTTTGCTCTGTTTCTCCTTTATTGTTTACCTGAACCTAGAAACAGTGAAAATACCATATCGACGCGTAAAATGTAATAAAAACAACTAAAATGTGATAAGACAAAACAAATGATTAACTGAAATAAACGGTAAAGTCACGTGTAAAAACCACTGATCATGGCACCAACATTTTTAAGACCAAAAGGCATCACTACCCATTCGTAGGTTCCAAAACCCCTAGGACATCTAAAAGCAGTTTTAGAAACATCTTCCTCAGCAATGAATATTTGGTTGTAACCAGAATATCCATCTAGCATGCTAAGATATTCATGTCCTGCTGTAGAATCTACTAACATTTCTGCTACTGGCATTGAATACTCGTCTTTTGGAGTTGCAGAATTTAAATCTCTAAAATCTATGCAAACTCTTAATGAACCATTCTTTTTTATAACATGCACTATATTATCCAACCATTCGACGTACCTGGCAGTGTGAATGAATTTGCAACGAAGCAGTCTTTCGACCTCCTCTTTAATCTTTGAAAGTATCTCTGGTGTAAACCGTCTTGGACTTTGCTTGACTGGTTTTTTCCCAGGTTTCATAGGCAACATATGTTCAACTAACTCTCTGCTCAAACCAGGCATTTCATAATAATCCCAGGCGAAGCAGTCCTTGAATTCTTTCAATAACTTAACCACTTCGAACTTCAATTTGGGGTTTAAATTGGCACTGATGTAAGTAGGCCTTTTGATTGCCCCTTCACTGAGATCAATTTCTTCTAAAGGATCCTTATGCTAGAATTTTAACATTGTTTTCCAGCGGATCTTTCTCAAACCCCAAAGGCTCATCTTCATAAATGGCGTCGAACCTCTGGCTTTGCTCTCCAGTTTGGACCTTATCTGGAGGTTTTGGGTCGAAGTCCTTACCAGGTCCTTCTTGGTGAAATTCAAAAATGGCTTCGCCAACCATGTGGTCATTAGCAGCTTTCAAAGCCGCTTGTAATTTTTTTCCAGCCACATAGGCCGAAATTCTCTTCAATGCTTCAAATTCAGTCATGATCGCTGAATTCACTTCCCCACCCTGTGGGATCTATTGAAGGAAAGCCTAAACATGGAAGCCTTCCTCCTGGTGTCTCCTTGTCCCATCTAAAACCTTCAACAAGATGCAAATACAACGAATAGAATGTCTCTTCGTCTGGTGTGAACTCAAAATCTGCTGGAGGACACGGAGCAATGTTCGCCATGTGCTTATCAAACTGTCTCTCATCAACATGATTGATAAGGGCTTTAAATTATCCTTGATCAGCTTCAATGTTTTCCACTATACCATCTGGCCTCCAAATGGTAATTCTCTGATGCATTGAAGAAGGCACAGCACCTATGCCATGAATCCACTCTCTTCCCAGGAACAATTTATAATTTGCTCTAGTTTCGACAACCATTATAGATGCTCGACCTGGATCTTATACTTCTCCTGATAGTTAAATAAGTCGTCATCCAACTTGATCTTCTCACATTGTCAAGCACGCGCGTCAACTCGCCACATTCCATCGTGAGCATGTCCTCGCGAAGAGAATTCATTACGTTGTCGGGCAAGATTGACAATCTTCACATTCTTACACGAACACAGCCTCAAAGCAGATCTACAAGTAAATCTACATCGTCGAGCGTAAGCAACAACTTGAGACAATCTCACATTGTCAGTCACACGTGACGACTTCCAGCAAATCCCTCGCGAGTACGTCCTCGGGGAAAACTCAATGCAAACCCACGTCCTCGGGTATACAAAACCACGGACATGGGATCCCCCATAGCGAACACCGTCCACGATAATTTGGCTCTTAAGTCATTGCTCCTTCACCTAGGAGCAACGACTTGGGGGATCCTGCTCTGGACTGGGCCTATGGATGACCCACAGTCGAGCAGGCCCAATATAGTGGCTCGTCGAGGGTAGCCCAATTCAAAGGTCTAATCCTCCATAATAGTTGGAGGTCATGTTCTCCACGTGCTCCTCACGCGATGACACATCACCAATTGAACCCACACCTTTCGCAGGGCAGTTTCGCCCTCAGGAACGGTGAAATCCACTACGAAGTTCGCGGGGCAGTTGACCCAGGATGAAGACCACGTGCTAGTCTTTCCTACTTTCACGTAGAATTCTAGCAGTCATCCGTTGTGAGCCTAACGATCCAGCCAACAACAGATGACCTTTGGCCCAACACCAGAGGCACACTATAAATACCCTCCTTTGCAGAAGGATCAGATATTCTGAATTCATTCTCACTACTTTGTACTTGCTCTTTCTCTTCTCACTCTAAATCTTACTTTGTCATCGAAGTGTCTTGCAGGTACACTCCCTCCTCTTCTCCGTCATCGACAAATTCAAAATACACAACATATTGATGACCGCTGATTAAAAATTGTCTTGATATAAATAAAATAAAAGGTGAGTATTTTAGCATGATAACTATCTCAAAATTAATATATTAAAATTACTTTTATATCTGTGTTTTCATAATATACTCACTTATCATTTTAGTCCCTCAATCATTTATCAAAATGATCCTTATAATTTTTTTTAATTTCATTTTGGTCCTCAAAAGACTTGTTAAAATAATTATTAATTTTCATTTTAGGTCCCTACAATTATTTTTATTTGCCCGCCATTCCCTGCATGACTCATTGAGCAGAAATAATATTGAAATTAAAAAAAAAAATGCATTTCAGTCTATGTCATACATAAATTCAGTTTTGATAAACATGCAAAATTCCATTTATACAAAACTTACAAAGTTTAATTTTAAGTAACTTTCAATTCCTTGTTCAAGAACTGAAATATAACCGGAATAACAAATATTTTATATGAAAAAAATGTTAAATATATTTGGGATTCTCATGTATATTTTTCGTTTGAAGTCTTTTAAAATTTTTTTTTTAAGAATAATTCTCTTATAATTTTTTATCCACACTTTTTGTCTATAATGCTAAAACTGCCGCTTAAATCGTCACTAGTCAATTCTTAAGTAAAAAATTGTCGCTAAATTTATTACCAAGTTGTAAAAATTGTCATTAATTTACAAGAGAAATTAAAAGTGTGAATGAAAAATTATAAAAGAATCATTCTTTTAAAAAAATATTTTGAAGGATTAAAACCAAAAAATCAAATTTAAAAACACCACAAACATATTTAACCTTAAAAAAAACACCACATTATATTTAACCTTAAAAAAAACACCACATTCACACCCAGTGAACCTAGAAGAAGAAACTAACCTTATCATCAATCACATAAATCAGATGAACCTCAATTAGCTATGACTCTGCATAATCGGGAATCATATACCCTCTTTTTTCCACTCTTATCCCTGCACTAGTAATAACCGTCATGAACCCTGCACATATCGACTCACTCAGCAGCCCACATCACAAAATCCACTAACAATGCCATTCTCGCCTTGATTGATCACACAAGTGAATTTTATTTATGACTAGTAACTGTTAAGAATATTATTTCTAGTAAAGTGGGTATACAACATATATATTTTACAAAACCTCAAATCTAATTATGAGTCCTTCAATATAAAACTCATATGAAAGAAAAAGGCTCCAATCTTCATATGTTTGGCAATTATTACCACCAATGATGCAGCACCTGCAACCCTCATGATTTGTGTTTGTATATCTCTATAACATTTATATGGTTTTTCTTGTAGGATTTAACAACTAAGCTTGCACTAAAATTATTAATTCATAAAAATAAAGCTAATTTATCTAAAGGTTCTTCCTCCAGATCCAGCTTCCCTTTGACAATTGAAGAACACAGCAGCAACTGGTAATTCAAGATTGTAAAGTTCAACAAATTCTCTTGTATTAAAATTCTGTCGCCATCCCGGAGCATAGACTATTTGTCTACACCGTTGACGTAATAATACAAACACGAAACGATGAATCCCTAAGTTGGGTCGTGGCTTTTCATAACTTACAACCTCATTACCTATGCATATCAGTTAAAACCACAATTAGCCTATATATAATTACTAGTTACTAGTAGTAAGTTTTTATATACACACATATCTTTTATGGTTGTGTCACAAACTAAGAAATAGTTTACACCTCAAGTCATTGTCTTGTCATTGTTATAAACAAATTTGATTTTTTTTATTATACTTGACAATAATTAATAATTAATGTATTAAGTTCATATATGGACTACATATATATATTAATTGTTAAATGTATAAAAAAAAGTCAAATGTTTTGGTGTAAAATTTAAAGGTGTTGGATTGGACACCTTGTGCTTCTCATTATATCAACTTAATGAGAAGTAAAGCGCGGAAGAACTTGGAAGGAAGGTGTTTGTGATATTTTTGTTCTTTTTAATGTCATGCTGATGTTTTGGCTTTGGTTGACTATTGACAATAAAAAGATTAGAAAGTGTAGTTTTTATAAATGGATAAAACATCCATTAGAATAATTAGTGTAAATGGCTATGTGTGGTGTGTGGTGTATGTTAGAAAATTGAGTATGATAATTTTGGATATTTTCGAGAAATCGTGTTCGTACACTTTTCGAACAAAGTATTTCGACTCTATTATTTGTCTGGGTTCACGAAATCTTTGTGGGGATGATTCTTGAAGAACAATCTGCTTCTTGGCAATAGAGAACAGATCAGGAATGTAGAGAGAAAGTATGGTTTTCGTTATTTTTTTTGTCCGTTAAAATTGAGGCCAAATGACTCCTTATATAGGAGATTAATAACATAAACTGAAAAGACACAACTGTTCAAAAATTTCGAACAGGTTCAACTGTTCAGAAAACTTTCAAAAAAATTTTGCTCGAGCTTCGCCCCTTGGAACCTCTTTTCAATTATTCGCATTCAATTGCACGTTGGCTCGACGAGCGTGCACTCCGCACTACCCTAACTTGTTTCCAAGCTTAACGCATAATTGCATCGACCTATAATAAATCACATTACTACTAAAATACATTGATGATACTAAAATCACCAACAGTATAACTTTTGAGTACTCCTAATACTCTCTTTCAATTTCTTGCTTTTTAAAAAAAACTTAATGGTCAATAATTTTGAGAAAAATATCACATTACACAACGCGATAATAAAAAATAAGTCTTATTTCTTTATTTCATAAATAACATGATTTGTTTTGACCTGTGCTCGGGTTACCACTATATACTTAACCTTGGAGTGTTTCTTTGACAAAATGGCAAATAGCAAAAACAACTTAAATCTTTAGATCAATCGAATGGAAATCTAGTAAGCGAGTTATGATAGGGTCTTTATGAAATGTTTGGTTATTGATAAGAAATGTGTCCTAATGGGTGTTTTTCTTCTTAATTAGGATGCTCTGCATGGTAGATTCAAATGAGAAACTAATCCTATGTTATATTTATGAAGAGATGGACAAAACAAAATAAAAGATTCAAACAGACCTCAAAGAACACTTTTTTATAATTTATTTTTTCTCGTTCTTAGTTACAAATTGATAAGGAAATTATTGATGAAAGATAAGATAAACAACTACATAAGTAATTACAAATAAGCGATACATTTCTTAACCTTGTCTAGCATTATGCTTGAAATTCATTATTAATAATTAAATTTTATATAAAATATATAAATGTTTAAATGGGATGGTGCCAGACTTAGGGTCTGTTTGGTTGAGAGAAATGGAGGGGAGGAGAGAAAATATTTAATAATTTATGTGTTTGATTCAAATTTTAAGAAGGGGGAGGAGAGGTAGATGAAGGGGATCAAAATCCCTCCTGAGCAAATTTATGCTTCCCCCCAATTTGGAGGGATTTGGAAGGGAGGCGGGGTGTTTGATTTTAATTATAATTAAACTTACATATTTATCCTTATTATTTATTTAAATATAAATTTAACTTATAACAATGTTAAAAGTAGAAGGATATAAAAGTAAATTAGTTTTAAAATATCTCCTCTCCCCTTGTGAACCAAACATATTTGTAAATAAAATGTCTTTCTCTTCTCCCCTTTTATATTTTGAACCAAACATATATGTAATTAAAATCCCTCCTCTCACTTTCTCTTTTTTAGATTTTATTGGTGGTGAATTATCTATGCTCACATTTAAAACTTAACACATGCACAATGGTGGGGATCTTATAGAGATGCATGTCTAAATTGCAAAAATAGAGTTTAACTTAGTACTTTTTTGAAACAAGAAGTTTCAATTTTTTTTAAATCATGAATTCAATAAATATATGTTTTATATAACTGAAAATTTCGCAAGAAATTTATATTTACCAAAAAATAAAATAAAAAAGTTTATATTTGTAATATTTTTTATTATTGTTTAATTTTTAAATATTTAAATTTTAATAAATATTTTTTAAAATTTTACTTTAATTATATTTTATTATATTTTAATTTTTTATTTTAAAATATATTTGACATAGGTAATCAATGATTTTTTAATCATATTTTTTTATATATAATCTATGATTTTCTTAATCATATTACTTTTTTTTTATAGATAATCAATGATTTTCTTAATCATATTATTATTTTTTAGATAATCAATGATTTTCTTAATCAAATTACATTGTTTACAAGTTATGTCATATTCAAGTTAACTTTTAATTATAAGTATATTAGTATATTATCAAAACTCAATAAAAATATACTATAATACAATTATCGTATTTTATCTCTAATTATGACCATTATCAAACTGACACTTAATCTCATTATATAATAGTAGTACTATTATCATATTTGAGCTTACCAACATAATATTAAATAAAAATTATTACTATCAAGATAATTATCCATTATATACTTATAACTTTTTTAATAAACTTTTAATTCATGTATACTACAACTGTTTGACCCATGGAATGAAGGGAAATAATATACATACCAGAACTAGCCCCGGTAGTTGCTGGAATATCAGTCACCATCCTGAAATCCATCGAGAGAAAGGTGTTAGTTACAGTATTATTCAACAAAAATATCTCATATATGATGTTAACGTGTAAGCAGGGTGATTTACTCACCAATGAAGGTACTCCCTAAAACTGGGGTAACTTGGGCTAGGTGCATCAGGATCTACTAACACCTTCAATAAAATAGGGAAAGTAAAAATATTTAAGTTAGAAACTTGAAATGCATTTAGTTTGTATATAATTAATATTGTAATTTTTTTACACATACAACTTCATAGATATTCAAAGAAATATTACATGAGACATCCATTTCTAAAGTGAATTTTGTAAATACTTTTTTTAGTTGCTTAAACATTGCTCTAAGAATTTTTTCCATATGAATATACTAAATACAGACATAACATCTATCTAATGTAATTTACCAGGGTGTAGTAGATCATGGGATCATCTCCACCAATACTCACTCGAGGTTGATTGGCAACTTGAGAAGGTTTAAGCTCACAACCATTGGAAACATTCCTATTTCCGTAGGTAATTTGGAGAGGAATAGAACTTTCAAAGGGGTCTAATACATCCCCTATTACACGCCCAACAACAAGAGGATTCCGACTACTACTGGCCATTTAGCTTGTTGACTCACAATCCTACATCCAACATTGCATTAGGGTTTTGGGTTTAATTAATACTATATACTAATAGTATGAAATAGTTCTGCACAAACTTCCAATCCAATCCAACCCCATCTTGAAGCCATCTTGAAGACATGTAATAATATGATTTTCTATAATATCTGACTTAAGAGTTATGATTCCACATATGTATAAAAATATATTATACTATGAGTACATGGAATGAAATTCTTTACAATGATACATAAACCATAATTTGTTCTTTCCAATTAATAACATGAAGTAAAAAAAAACTATCAAAAATTTCAGCCAGTAAAATACAAATATCTTCTAGAGGATCAACCTGGATTATTCAAATCAAAAATTATACACAAACCCAACAATAGCATCACAATTCAAAGCAATGTTTATGAAGTGTCTATATGCTTCAAATGTTATGTCCTGTATAAAACTTAAAAGGAAAAGTAAGAATAAAAAGGCATGAACTTACCCACACTTGAATGATGACAGTGTAAGTGTATAACTCATGATATAATCCCTGCACTCCAAGAGTAACTTTAAAACTAATTTAGCACAATTCAAAATAAATCATCCGTAAATATTGCCTATTCACAACATATACAATACGTCTATGTACTAAAAAGACTTACAGCTATAGATATGAGCATGAAGTTTCACCACTCGAAGGTTCAAGGATTTCAGCGGAATCAGATAACTTCCAAGAAGAAAACAAAACAGTGTTATTGTCATACTGCGTGAACTTCACGAAATGGATCTCAAATCCAGAAATTACACATACTCACCATCAAAATCAGCAAAGTGTGTAGATCAAGTACACCGGTATATTGAAACTGTTCCAGAGCTGCAAACTTCTGTTACGTTGAAATCACAACCGTCAAAACGGATTTTCACTTCTACACGACCGAGTTTTCGGCAACCACCGCGGATGCAACCGTCAAACCACCGCCGGGATCAGTTTTGGAGGATCGCTGGTTAGTTAGGGTTTTGACTCGAGTGTGAAAACTCTCAACTAACTGTGTCGTTCTTCACGTTGGTTTTGAGATTTAGTTACTGATTTAGAAGAAAATGAGAAAAAAATTGGGATAGAGATGAAAAATAGAGCGGCTCCTGGTTTAAGGGAAAACCGTGCACAAATTGTGATGTGGGGTGAGCGTTGCGTGGCTTGGAGGGGTGATTTCGTAAGTGACGGCTTCTACTATGCAGAAGAATACCGCCTTCCAGAACTAGATATTTTCAGTTCAGAGTTTCGCATTTACTATTTTATTTTATTTTTTATTTGACGATTAATCAATTACGATTATTTATTTTATTTAGAATTAGAAACATAAAATTTAAGTGTTTATTGGACGTTATACTCTTTATCTAGACAGTAGATGGTGGAAATATATTTAAAATAATGCAAACACAAAAGTACAAAAAGATTTTGTCAAAAAAAAAGCAAGTACAAAACGATGAAAACTCTTTATGGGTCGTGGTCTTTTTTATTTTCCATAACTATATTAATAAATTCTATATATATAATATTATAACTTATAATATTATTTGCTGAAAACTTTTATGAGAGGTGAAAAATCTCACATAGAAGTATCTATGGTGAACTTATATCATTAGGATAAGCATACCACTGAGATCTCTCTTTTATTAATAAATTGATAAACGAAAGTTTAGTATTTGTTGTAGTTTATTGTTAAATTTTGAATCATAATTTTCATGAAAAAAATCTTATTTATTTTAATGAAAAATTCATAATTCTTTAATATACTCATATTTATGTTTTTTTAAGCAAAAGTGAGTAAGAAATATCATAAATAGTCAAACACAAAAGAATAATAGGAAGAATATCTATGTTTCTTTTTAAATAAATAAAAAACAAAAATAAAATTAAGCTAAATATTTATTTTGTAGTTGATAATTATATAGAAAATTCCTATATACAAATGCAGGTTTGAATCTACGAGATCAAACTTATTAAAAATATATAATCAAATCTTAAATATCTAATAATAATAATAACAATAATAAAAATAATAATAATAATTACAAAAATTCATTCGTGAGACCATCATAAATTAAAACAAGTCGAAGAAAGCAAAATAAGGAGTCAAATCTGCGTAAGGATCGACCAAACGGCCAATTTCAACTATCCACTATCCGCCCACACGCCAAAGTTGAGATCCTCCTTTGTAAAAAAGGAATTAGCTCAAATTTCCTTCAATCCACTTACATGAAGAGCATTTGATCTTGTTCACACCTTAATCTACAATTTACGATATATTAAAACAAGATCATATTTAATGTATATTACTTAATGTTATAGGGAAGAGAGTAAAAAAATATATATTTAAACTTATTTCGTTTTATCAAGTTGAATTATGGTTTGAGATTTTAAAAATGTAGAGAAATAAATTACTTCTAACGTCTGATAAAAATATCTTATTTGAATAATACATTATTCTCTATGTTAGTTTTAATGATAAAACTAAAAATAGTAATAAATTATGCATTAATATTGTAAATGAACTTTTATTTTAAGACAGAAAAAAGTACAAATGAAATATGTATTACGAGTTAGATAATATAGTAAATAGATAATAATATCTCATCAGGGTCGTTGAGAGAGACGTTATAACAATTTGAAATAATGAGTTTCTCTATCCCATTATATGCTTAGAGAGAGGGAAATTTATTTTTTCTTTTCAATATTTTTTCACCAAGCATTAACAAGTAATAGACCATAAATGAGTGATCAATTGAAACACAATAAATATAATCGTTATTCATGCAATTTGACCAAGTGTTTCTATGTCTGCAGTATGCAAAAATAAAATTATTCTTGTTCTGTATTATTATTTGAATGAACTCTACAACTTTTTTTTATACCAAATATTTACACCGTATGCACTATTCATCATATTTATACGATGAATAATATTTTTTTAATAAATTTTTTTTAACCGTGCGTGTTAATAGTATTCGTGTACAGTTCATGAATAGTAAAATTTAAAGCAGTGAAATAAAGCTGGTTAATAAAATATTAAAAATTAGTTAATGAAATGATGAAGTTAAAGGTTAATAAACGCTTAAATATTAAAAATTATTTTTAGAAATAAATTAAAGTTAGTTAATAAAAAGTAAAAAAATTTAATAAAGATATGAAGTTGGTTAATACACGTTCCGATATAAAAAAATAAATTTTAACAATAAATAAAGTTGATTAATAAGATGTAAAAAATTAGTTAATGAAATTATGAAATTGCTTAATCACTCAATATTATATAAAATCATTTAATCTAAAAACAAAAAAAAATTAAATAATAATTTTTTTCTTATTTTTTTTAAATATATATTATTATAATATTTCACTATTCACCGTATTAGTGAACAGTAAAATACAATGTAAGAGTAAGAAAGTGTGTATAATATTTCACAAGTCAAACGAATAGGACAAAACTTGATATCTAAGCCAATATCACCAGTGTTAACTAAAAACTATAAAAGTTTTGGAATATTATTCCTACATCTTTTTCTGCACCAAATTAATACACCATATTTATACGGTGAACAATACTTTTTAAATAATTTTTTTTATTAACAAAACATGAACAATACGCATTAATAGTGCCTTGTGACAGTGCCTTTAATAAAATATAAAAAGTTAGTTAATGAAATATAAAAAATTAGTTAATAAAGTGATAAAGTTGGTTAATAAATGTTCAAATATTAAAAAATAATTTTTACAAATTAATTAAAGTTGGTTAGTGAAAAATAAAAAATTGATTAATGAAGATATAAAGTTGATTAATAAACGTTCAGATATTAAGAATAATTTTTAACAATAAACAATGTTGGTTAATAAAATATAAAAGATTAGTTAATAAAGTTATAAAGTTGGTTAATTAGACAATTTTAAATCAATATCATTTAATTTAAAAATAAAAAATATTAAAATAATAATTTTTTATATTTTTCTAAATATATATATATATTATTATAATATTCTACTGTTTATTTTATTAGTGAAGAGTAAAATACATTGTAGGTCTAGAAAAATGGTGCAAGAAAAACATTTATCTTTACAAATATAGTGAACAGTAAAATAATATAATAGTATATATATTTTCTTAAAAAATATAAAAAATTTATATCATTGTAAGAACATCACTATCCTACTCCAACTTCATATTTTCATTAACCAATTTTTTACTTTTCATTAACCAATTTTAATTTATTTATAAAAATAATTTTTCATATCTTAATTTTTACATTATTAACCAATTTTTTACATTTCATTAATACACTTTATTTTACTATTTTAAAGACATTATTTACAGGCACTATTCATGAGTTTTGTTCACGTATTTTTTATTAAAAAAATATTATTTATCGTATAAATATAATAAATAATGCATACAATATAGGTATGTAGATGCTTTTGATTGGCTGCATTTTGTGGCAAAATATTGGAGTATGTGTGAATGTCATAACTGATGTTATGACATACATAATGAGTATTCAGCAGGGTAAGTTTGAATAGCTAAGAGTCAAGTATGTTGGATGTCATGTTGAGTGTTATGACATCAAGCGTATGACATCAGGGCGCGCAGGTTTTAGTTTCTGGTATTAACTCAGGCTATACTTCAGGAAAAATTTTAGGAAGCCTAGTTATCTCAGGCAACATATCAGACATTGTTGAGGATAACATGGAATGCCCCTGACCTAATTGGACGTGCGTAGTTTCATGAAGAGAGGTTTATCGTGGGTAAACCTTATTTCTTCACTAAGGCCCAAGGACTGTATGCTGCCTATATATACAGAAGTAGCAATCTTATTTAAAGACAGTTCTTGACAGGGTTTTAGAGAACGTATATTTGTGAGTGAAGAACTTTGTTTTTCACGTGTATTTGTGTGTCTTAGGAATACTTGTAAATCAAGCAATTATCTGTTGTATGATTACATTGGTCTAGAGTTCTTAA